ATTCCAATAATTCTTGATGCCCCAGCAATTCTAGCACCTTCAGCAGCCTGAAGAAATGAAATTTTAAGATAATAGTTTGGTACATAGTACTAAATATAATAGTTATCCAATCTTCCCTACCAAATATATGGACTACACATGTAAATTAAGTTTCAGTGTCACCTACAGCTAAGCCAACTGCTCCCAGCCCAAAAATGGCAACAGATGAGCCCTTTTTTGGTTTTGCTACATTCAGAGTTGCACCTAATCCTGCAAGTGTAGACAACACGTGTTTTAAGTTTACATTATCAAATACGAAATCTGAGTACAATTGAAATATTTCTTAATGCGAACACATTACCAGTCGAGATACCACAACTAAGGACACAGATTTTATCCAGAGGTGCCAATGGATTGACTTTTGCTAGACAGCCAGAATGAACAACTGTGTACTCACTGAAGGTCGATGTACCAAGGAAATGATTTATTGGGTTCCCATTGATGGAAAATCGAGACTTTCCATCACTAAGCATAAACCCTCTATCTGTGTTTATTCTCAGAAGGTCGCACATATTACTTTCCTCAGACTTGCAGTGTGCACAATCACCACATTCCCCGGTGAACACTGGAAGCACGTGATCACCAACTTGGAGGTCCGATACCCCTTCACCAACACTCTCTATAATTCTGTTCAGAAGGACAACTGAATAAGAGAAAAGAAAAGGAAGAAGAGAAGGAGAAGAAATGAACTTGGATAATGATTTCTAGATGTATGCTCTATGCAATACTGAAGGGAATTAATAATACATTTAAGGAAAGGATTAAGAACAGAATTTGATTTGGACTTAAAACAAGCAACATACCCAGCAGCTTCATGACCAAATATGCGAGGAAATAGTGGTGTTTGTCCCTGAAAATCCAAGATCAATCTCTTTAGATTTCAAACTATGGAAGGCATAATTCTACCCTCTGCTTGAGGGGTTTAATGATGCTTACTAAATTATGCAGATAGCATTAATAAAAATAAGCAACTAAGACTTGTTGTTTTTAATGCATACATAAAGTCCCTTCTCATCACAAGGGACCAGTGACACTGGTCCTTTCTGCCATAAGCATAACATTAACCAGGAGACTACGCTCAAAAAATTTTGACGTTCCAGACGAAGAAATAATGAAACCTTAGCTTCCCAGAAGTAGAGATCAGTGCGACAAAGTGA